AAGAAGAAGAAAAGAAAATTGTCTTCATTTTTAAGGCATAGAAGTGTTACCAGCCAATAAACACGTCACCAAACCTTTCACAAACCGTCAACCCAGCGACTAAAATCCTGAAACATAAAGGTGAATTTAAAGCCAGAATCCTGCAGCTAAATCATCTGGAGTGCAATTCAAGCTTATATAGTATACCAATATTGGCACCAAAACCGGAGCTGCTCGATATCAGGCTTATTCAATTCCACAGATTTATAGCATTCGTACGCAGGATACAAATAACCAAAGGCCAGCCTGAGATAAGAGAAGAAGATAAGAAGATGGTGCAAAGCTAACACAAGGAATTACAAACTAAAGGAGAAGAAGTGGGTGTGGAACATACACGAGTCCCCTAGTAATAAATGATCCAATCATCTTGACACCCTGTCACATATATATACAACATTTGTGATGTCAAGTCAGAAACCAATAGAGTCGGAGAAGGACAGAAAGCAAAAGAGTTCATCTGCATAATGTTTGGATTTATCATCAAGTGCTTAATTTAAACAAACATTAGATCCATTATTCACTTTCAAACACCGGTTACATTCCCGAATTTAACGTGAACCTAGGTTGTTCAGGTTTTGTCTCAGTATTAAGGTCCATTCATAAGCTTTGCATGCATAGAATAATTTTCTCCTGCCCTGACCCCTCACTTTTGCCACTCATCTGCCCAAAACTGAGAAAACTATATAAATTCCAATAATTATTACAATGTTAACAATTCTGCTTCCAAGTTCCAACTAGTGTTATACCAACTTGGTTGTCGCAATCAAATTCTCACACAAAGAAATTACATCGCTCGCTCTCCTTCGCCAAAGTGCACTCGACGTTCGCAGTCAATCCAATCTAACGAATCGAAAACCAAAACTATAAAGCACCAAAGACATAAGCAAACATTTATCAGTAAATTCAAGAGAGCATTGCATAATGCTGAAAAATAGCAACATGACATTCTGCACCAATTTACACCATGAAATTCCCCAAATCAAATCATTCCGACGAGTTATTCATGATAATGCTGTCAGTCTTCCGCAGAAGAAAAAAAAAAAAAAAATGCTCGAACAAATTGAACACATTCCGTAACAGAACAAATTGCAAAGATAAGAATGCAACGAAAATGTCGAATGCATATATAAATGTATGTATGTAATCGCAAATGAGAGTTCGTAAGAAAATGACATCAAGATGTATAGTTTTGGTTCTGGAAATGACCGTTAGTTGGGGGGCGCCGGAGATTTATCGCACAAATGAATGATCGCAATTGAGAGCAAACGTTCTTTCGCACAATCGGCGCCGCCAGGACGACGGCGTACCGTTCGGGTGACGGCGGAGGGAAAAGGAAGAGAGGAAACCAAGCGGCCAAATTTTCGCAGCGCGGTTTAATTGTTTGTGAAAAGTTCTCCGTCTAGTTTCTGAAACACGGCATATATGGGCCATATCCTGTGCGGGCAGGAACACAAACGTAGTGCTCGATTTACCACTTTGCCCCTCGTGAATCGTACACATAATTTTTTTTTTTTTTTCGAAACGATAAAGAAATTTTGACTTGAATATAATATTTACTCTTTCTTATATTTTATGAATGATATAGTTATATTTAAATTATTTATATTGTACTAACAATATTATTTATATTTTTATTAATACTTATAGGGGATGAGAAAAAGAAATACTCAAATACTAAAGGATAAATATAGGATTAAACTACCCAAGAGTGTTTGAATGAGATGGTTTGAGTCTCTTCTAGCTTAACAAGTGGTCTCGTGTTCGAGCCCTGTGAATGCAGCAGTGTTAAAACTCTTGAGGGAGAGCTTTGTCGTTCTTGTGGTCTTATCCAGCTCGATGTACCAAAAAAAAAAATATAAGGATCAAACTTTATATCGGGTGAAACTTGTACACTAGGTTCCAATAGTATGATAAGAGAGCTCCGCCCTTGCCTTGCACCGGTGAATAAAATTAAAAATACTATTCTTTCTACAAGCTCATGTTATGTATGTAATTATTGATGTGAAATTATGAACCTTAGTTTAAACAATATTTCTAGGAGCTCATTGTATTTACATTATTTATATAAAATTATTTGTTAAAAAATAATAATTTCAACCTAGATGTTAAACATGTGAATCACATACTCTTTTTTTTTTTTTTT